GGGGGCGCGGGGCAGGGGGGGCCGGTGCAGAGGGAGCCGGTGCAGAGGGGGCTGGTGCAGAGGGGCCCGGTGCAGAGGGGGCCGGTGCAGAGGGAGCCAGCTGCAGGCTGTCTCCATCGGCACCTCAGCATCCCTGTGCCGTGCCAGGCACTGGCATCACGTGCTGAGCTGTGCGGTGGGGCGGTGTGGGAATGTCGGAAGAGTGTGGAGTTCTGTGGGCACCCTGCGGGCAGGGTCGAGGTGGGGCTAAGGGTTGGAACCCGAGGGTTGGAGCCATGATTTCCACGTCATGATTGCCCTTGGTAAATCGTCTCCAGAGGAGGAAGGGGTTCTGGAGCAGTCCATGACGTCTGTGGTCTTTACCCCAAGTTCTGTTTATGGAAGTCTGGTTCTTCAGCTAGAGCTCCCTGCCCCCAGAACACTGTAGTCGCCCTCAAACTCATGGTCTCAGCGTGGCACTGGCTGTCAGGCCGTGGTTCCCAAGCACATAGTTTGACACGTGAGCTTTGGAAGTTCATGACTTGACTGAGCACTTTTCTTATAAAGTTATGGAGGAAGACTCCCCATTTACTAAGGGAGTGAGGAAGACTCCCTATTTAGTAAGGGAGTGAGAAAGACTCCCTATTTAGTAAGGGAGTGAGGAAGACTCCCTATTTACTAAGGGAGTGAGGAAGACTCCCTATTTACTAAGGGAATGAGTAAGACTCCTTATTTACTAAGGGAATGAGTAAGACTTCCTATTTAGTAAGTGGGTGAGTGAGACTCCCTATTTAGTGAGTGAGTAAGACTCCCTATTTATTAAGTACGTGAGTGAGTAAGACTCCCTATTTAGTAAGTGAGGAAGACTCCCTATTTAGTAAGTGGGTGAGTAAGACTCCCTATTTAGTAAGTGAGTAAGACTCCCTATTTAGTAAATGGTAAGACTCCCTATTTAGTAAGTAAGACTCCCTATTTAGTAAGTGGGTGAGTAAGACTCCCTATTTAGTAAGTGAGTGAGTAAGACTCCCTATTTAGTAAGTGGGTAAGACTCCCTATTTAGTGAGTGGGTAAGTAAGACTCCCTATTTAGTAAGTGGGTAAGACTCCCTATTTAGTGAGTGGGTAAGTAAGACTCCCTATTTAGTAAGTGGGTAAGACTCCCTATTTAGTGAGTGGGTAAGTAAGACTCCCTATTTAGTAAGTGGGTAAGACTCCCTATTTAGTAAGTGAGTGAGTAAGACTCCCTATTTAGTAAGTGGGTAAGACTCCTTATTTAGTGAGTGGGTAAGTAAGACTCTTTAGTTAGTGGGTAAGTAAGACTCCCTATTTAGTAAGTGAGTGAATAAGACTCCCTATTTAGTAAGTGAGTAAGACTCCCTATTTAGTGAGTGGGTGAGTAAGACTCCCTATTTAGTAAGTGAGGAAGACTCCCTATTTAGTAAGTGAGTGAGTGAGTAAGACTCCCTATTTAGTAAGTGGGTAAGACTCCCTATTTACTGAGGGAGTTAGTGAGTGGGTAAGCAAGTGAGTAAGACTCACTATTTAGTGAGTGAGCGAGTAATTAAGACTCCCTATTTAGTAAGTGAGTGAGTGAGCGAGTAAGATTCCCGAGTGAGTGAGCAGCAAGCGAGTAAGGCTCACTAGTGTGTAAGACTCCCGAGTGAGTGAGCGAGTAAGAGAGTAAGACTCCCTACTTAGTGAGTAAGACTCCCTGTTTAGCCAGGGAGTGGATTTCCATGTGGTCTTCACCTCTTCAAGGTGCCAGTTGGGTTAGCTAGAAACGTCTGCGTGGGGGACTTGAACTAGCGCCATGCCTGCTCTTTCCTAGGGGCAAAGCGGCCCCGAGGCTCACCGGGTAGTGTGCCAGAGTCGCCGGGCGGCCTCTCGAAGCACGTCCGGTCCACCGTGGACTTCTCGCCGGTGCGCAGTGCTTCCAGGTAGGATTCCGGAAGGCGGAAAGGCTGCGCTGTGGGTCCTGTCGCCGCGAGGGTGGCGCACAGATGTGCTTCCTCTCGCCGGGCGTCGCTTTGTGAGTGCGAGGACGGTTGCGTGATGTGGAGAGGCCGGATGGGTTTGTTAAGACCTGTTCCCTTTGCCTCGATGCTGCAGTGAAGAGAGGGTGAGATACTCCAGCTCCCAGCCGGAACCGCGGACGAGCCTCTCCGTCTGGGACAGCAGCCCCTCGTACCTCGACAAGCTGGTGCGAGGGATCAGCTTCTCCCAGCCTGCGTGTCCCGACCACATGCTGCTGAACAGCCAGTTCCTTGGCACTCCAGGGTCCTCACAGGTGAGGGAGGCTGCCCTCGATTTTTTATTAACAGATGCAAATCTTGAGGCCAGCAGATGGCATGGTGGTTGAGGTGCTGGACTCCCACATGGCCAGCTGTGAGTCCCAGACCTGGGGTTCTTTTTGGGTGCATGTGCCCAGAATCCCGGGAGAGTGGAGGAGAAGGGATTGTCCACTTGGCCGTCCCCTCTGGGAGGTGACTTCTCACGTTCCCTCTCTCTGTCTCTTGCAAGTGTTTCTTTCTGCTTGTTTTTGTTTGTTGTTTTGGGGGTTTTGTTTGTTCATTTGTTTGTTTGTTTGCTATTGGGCACTTGCACTCACCAGAGAGGCAGAGAGACAGACAGAGAGACAGAAAGCAAGAAATCACCCCCAGGGGGCATGGCCACGCCGCAATCCCTTCTCCTCCATTCTCCTCTCAGGATCTTGGGCACGCACACACATGCGCCCGGTGTGAATTTAAGTCACTGGGTCCGGGATTCGAACCGCGATAGACTACATGGGAGTCCAGCAACATAGCCATTACGCCAACTTCTGTTCTCATTTTTCTCTTTTTTGATAGAGATTTTTAGTATAGGGTGCGTATGCTCGCCAGAGAGACAGACAGAAAGTGAGAAGTCACCCCCCCCATCAAGGGGGGCTGGCCACACCATAATACCTTCTTCTCCGTTCTCCTCTTAGGATTTTGGTCACACACACACACACACACACACACACACACACACACGTGCGCCCAAGGTGAGTTCCAATTCGCTGGGTCCGGGGTTCAAACTGTGTTCGACTATGTGAGAGTCCAGCAACATAACTATTATGCCATCTGCTGGTCCCATACCATTAACATTTTTAATTTGACCAGCAATTCACACAGAGAAAGGGGGAATGAGAAAGCAGCCACCAGGTCTGGGACTTGAACCGTGATCAGCCATGTGGGCGTGTCCAGCGCTTTAACTTTAACCCCCATGCCACCCACTGGCCCCGTGTTTAAACTGTAGATGGCTTTTGGACAAGGAAAACTGAATTAGAGGCCTGAGGCCCGGAAGAGTGTTGTCAGACTGACCCACTCGTGGTCGTAGTGGACTCACTCTGCCCCGTCTGCCACAGAACCCCTGGCAGCGCTTGGTCAAGAGGATGACACGGTTCTTCACCAAACTGGACGCAGACAAGTCCTGCCAGCGCCTGAAGGAGGCCTGTGAGCAGCTGGGCTACCAGTGGAAGAGGAGCTGCGTGAACCAGGTGCGTGCCTTGCTCGCTCAGCCTTCCTCGTGAGTGTGCCCACACACTGGGTACAGTGATGCAGTAGACCTCCACAACAGTGATCCGTTTAACTGGAGAAGAAGCCCCTGGGATGGAAGCACCGAGGTGAAATGCTCTTTGCTCAAAGAAGGGTATTTCTTAAAAGACCTCTCTGGGTTATTAAAGATACCCAGCGGGGGAGTTTGGGTCAGAAACCGTACGTGCTCCGACCGCAGATGGTGGCAGGGTCCCCGAGGAGGAAGAGAGCCGTGCTGACCCTGCTCTCCCCTCCCTGCCCACGGTGGTCACCGGACGCCGGCTTCGGCCCACATTGTGGAGACTCAGACGCCCGGGGGCGGTGGCGCACCTTAGCTTCTGTGATGAGGCCCCAGGTGCACGCGGTGTGTGGGCGTTCGTGCCTCCTGACCTGAAGGGGCGCTGGCCCGGGTCCCCGCGCTGTAAGTGCTCTGGAGCCGCCGTGCCCTCTGCTGTGTAAGAAAGGCCGTCTGTCCAGGCTTCAGACCCTGCAGTCCTGGCACCCGGGGGCCCGGGAACATGCCCCTGTGTGGGCACACCGAGCAGCTGTCAGACTGTGGCCTGGATGGTGCAGATGTTCTGTGTCAGACCGACTGGGGGGTGACATGGCCCTGTCCACAGGAGGGACATGCCGCAGGCGTGTGACTCACTGTAAGACATGGGACGCAGCACACAGGCTGGGGCGCCGTGGCGAGGGAAGGCCTGCGCGGTTACTATGCTCGGCCCTTGGCTTTCTGTGGGTTGGTTAAATTGCCAAGGTTCAAAGTGGGGCAGGCCGGCCGGGTGCTTTAGTGACCTCGCTGTGTTCCACCCCCGGTATCTTCTCCCTGGGCGTGTCTCCGTAGAAGCCTTGATCTCCGGTCGCTCAGCTCGCAGCCTCAGTCCTGGCCACAGGCTGCCGCAGGAACGCAGTGGCCCGGGTGGGACACGTGCCCACTGGGATGAGCGAGGTTTTGGCGTGCAGGTGTCACCCTTACTCACGGTCCACTTTCTGTGGTTTCAGTTGCCTGTGGTCGCCGTGGCTAAGACCTGCCCAGTGGAAAGCCCGCTGGTAAAGGTCTGTGGCCTGTAACTTACGGCCCTCAGGACCTCGTGCCATCTGCTGCCGTCCCCCGTGAGCAGACGGCAGGAGTTTGAGTGAGACCACGCCATGCACCCGTTACCGCGTGGCGGCCAGGACAGTGCCCCTGTAGTGCTGGTCCTCGCGGTCTCGGGCAGGTGGGCCTCGCAGGTGGGCACGCACTTCACAGCAGGCCCTGCGTTCTGGCGGTCGCGCCGTGCTCAGCCCTGCAGCACAGGCTGGGGCTCGATGCTGGGGTCGCGGTGGCTACAGAATTGGGGCGTTTGCACACCGTCCTTCAGTCAGAGGCCACGAGGTGGCCTTGTGCGCCCGGAGCGCGAGCGTCTGTGGGAGCGTGGTGCTGCAGGCCCAGCGCCGTCGCCGCGGCACTGTAGGGGGCCCGTTCCGGGGCCATGGGGTGCCCGCACGCTCCCACCCGGTAGCGGGCACCCCTCCAGCCTCTCTGTGCCTTAGGTCACTGTGTCGACAACTGATCGGAGGAACAACAAACTGATTTTCAAAGTGAATTTGCTAGAAATGGACGAGAAGATTCTGGTAGACTTCCGGCTCTCTAAGGTACTTCCAGTGGCTCTCGTCCCTCTGCGGGGGAGGGGACGGCATGCCTTTTACATGTGGCCTTTTAAATATGTGCTAACTTGCTTTTTCCATCCAGCGTTATGGTTTATTCTTCTGAAACGTGACTTCTTTAAAGGTCATTTCATTATCATCACAGTTTTTGCCCTGGGCCAGCCCCTGGGGCCGGGGGGACCGCATTGTTGATGTGTGCTGTTTCCTGGAAGTTGTTCGGGAGTCGAGACCCGCCCGTAACCGGGCCTCCTGGCCATGTGGCCATGATAAGACACAGCATCGCTTACTTGTAGTTCGCGAACCCACCTGCCAGGGAGAGCCCCGGGTTAGGCCCAGAGACGCCAGGCCAGTGCGTGAAGCAGATGGGGTGCTGCTTCCCATCCTCTGAGCCGGGGCGCTGAGAGCAGAGAGGGCTCGAAGGCAGGTCTGGCCATCCGTGCCGCCACCTCGCGCGGGGTACCTGCGCTCCGCAGAGGCCCTGGGGGTCAGCCCGAGTGCCTGAGGCCTCTCTGCTCAGCACCCGGAAGTGACTTCATGGCCTAATCTCTTTCTCTGACGTGTTCTTGGCTATTCCTATTACAGGGTGATGGATTGGAGTTCAAGAGACACTTTCTGAAGATTAAGGGGAAGCTGAGCGACGTTGTGAGCAGCCAAAAGGTTTGGCTTTCTGCCACGTGACCGCCCCAGCGGCTCTGGGACTCGCGGGGAGTGGGCGCTGCTCGTGGCTGACCCCCTCGAGAGCTGGTCGTGTGTGGCAGACCGCTAGCAGTCGCTCCGACGGGTTCTCTGCCGCCGTCCCGTACCTCCGGCTCTTCCCATGTTTTGCATACAAGCAATACCACACCTGCATTGTCAGTAGGGCTTCGGGGAAGGGATGGCAGGACCCACTGAATCGTCTTCAGCCCAGTTGTGTGTCTGAATTGGAAACCTGTCGGGAGAGCCACGTCTGAGTTACGTGAGCGCTCCAGCTCTTCCGCTACTCTGTGGTCCCATTTTGCTTTATTCAAAAAGTACGTATTTCCTCCACGTTGATTTGACTGTAAGGATGCGTCGGTAAAAGCTTAAGCCCTGACTTGCGAGCAGTAGACATACCGGGCCATGAAGTGAGGCCAGCTTCAGGAAACAGCCCAGCATGTGTACCGTCTCCTCATGGCCTGGCCGGCCACAGCAGCTCACTCTGGTTGCAGTGCTCCTGCCGGCGATGTCTGCACCCTGCTTGTCTCTCAGTAGCCGTCGACAGAACCTCTCGGGCTCAACAAATTTGACTAAAAATTACCGTTGCACATTTTAAGTGTTTTTCTATGTTATTTTCTACTTTCATGGCCATATTTTAATCCTTTACTACGGAAATAAATTCTATTTTGAAATGAACGTCTCACCCGTGAACTTCCTGGAGGCTAGGCTTTCGGGTGGGCGAGCAGGCGCAGTCATGGGCCGGGCCCTGGCTCCGTCGGACTTGCAGAAACCGGCTTCTAATAGGGTTGACATTAGCTCTGACTTGTGAGGCTGGCGCCCATATTCCTTGTAAATGATAAGGCTGTCACTAAGTCACGCAGTATATGTAATCAGGTGGTAAACTCCGTGCGTGTCTGAAGCCTGTGCCCGTTGGGCTAGCGGCGGTCACACGCCAGCCGACGCGTGGTTTTCCCTGCACTCGCCCCGCCCCACGTGGCTCTGCTTCCCAGGACCCAGTGGTGCGGCTGCCCTGCGGCTCTGCTCCATCCGAGCGGTCAGCGCTGGAGCCACCTGCGCCTCCCCCCGCCCTTCCAGGGCCGACCTCAGGGCCTGTAGAGATCTCCAGGTAGTTTCGGCCGAGTGTAGAGTTGCCTTGTGCGAGAAGGTTGGTTCAACGAGCCGTCCACACGGGGGCGGGGGGGACACCCTACCGCGGAACCCACGCCTGTGGCTGAGCGGGGCCTGCCCGCCAGAGTGCCCGTGAGAACCACGAACCACGGTTGAGAGTTCAGAGTTTCAGTCCCAGGCTCCTGCCTTTATTTCCCAGTACAGTTTTATCTAGAGCTGGAGCTGTGCGCTCACACTCACATTCAGAAACCTGAATTCTTACTGAGTTTTGCTGTGAGGCATGTGCTCACCAGAGAGAGACGGGGAGACAGTGAGAAATGCCCTCGCAGGGAGGGCGGCCATGCACGGTCCCTTGTCCATGGCCACCCTCCCCTTCAGGGTTTTGGACACACATTCACACACGCCCGGCACGGTTCTCAAGCCGCTGGGTCTGCGGTCAGACCGAGGCCGGCTACGTGGGACCCAGCATGTCAACCTCCACACCGCCTGGTGGCCCACTGCAGGTCAGTCTCGTCCCTGCCTACAGCTGGCCAGTGAGGAGTCCCCAGTGCGGTTTGGAGAGGGAACCCTCCAGTCACTGCTTTCTAGCCCTCCCACTGCCCTGAGTTCTGGGCATGAAACAGAAGCCCTGCCATGGAGGACAAATGGACGGTCTGCCCTGCGGCGTTCGTGGTGAGACCGCCGGCTCGTCGAAGGCCCCGGGGCAGGCTGTGGAAGCAGAGTGGGAAGGAGGGCCGGCAGGACAGGCTGGACGTCCGGTCTGGGCAGAGCCACCCTGCTGCCCCTCGTGGGTGAAGACAGCCCAGGCCGGGCTCCTAGCGGTCGGTGGGGGTCTGGTCCTGCCGTCGCCAGCTCTACCTGGTGGGCTGGAAGTGGAGTGTGAACAGACACCCCTGTACCATGTGTACCGTGAGAGCACAGGCTGCTCCTGGCCCTCCTGGCCCTGCTGAGGCTCAGGTGAGAGTGTGCGAACACCCGAGACCGATGTCAGCACGAGTGAGGGGCTGTTCGGGGTCTCCTGCGCCCCAGGGCCGAGCAGGGCCGCATGTGAAAATGGTGTCTCAGTGCACACCACTGTGGGCCGAGTAGCACGGGGCATGGTGCTCATAGCCTGCTGAGGCCGGCAGGCGGCGTGGACTCCCACACGGCCAGTCGCATCTCAGACCTGGTGGCTTGCTTTCTCACTTTCCCTTTCTCTCTGGTCAAAATTAAAAAATAAAAATAATTCTTTAAAATAGTGAACTGGAAGACAAACCCGAGAGCCCGGGAGGGTGGGCTTCTGCATGTCACGGTAAGTTGACGACAGTGGCGACGTCGGATGGAAGGCGGGAGAGCAGAGAAACGCCCGGACAGCCGCCACCCTGCCCGCCTGCCCACCTGCCTCTGCTCTGCGCCCCACGTCGAGCATGTGGGAGACGCCCGTGTTTCTGCTTCACTGAGTCCGGCTGGCCTGCGGCTGGACACAGAAAGATGCCAGCCTGGAGCCCAAGTTCTCGAACCACGTGGGATTTATTGAAGAAGTGAGGGACGTTGAGGTGGAGGCGCTGGAGAGCAGGGGCGGGGGAGCTGGGCGTGAGCTGAGCCAGCGCAGGGTGGGCAGGGGGCGGGCACGGGCGTCTAGACCCTGTTACAGAAAGACTGGTTCCGGCAGCAGGCAATCTGCATCCTGGTCCCGTGGGAGAAGAGGTTCATGGATGGGCACATGTTCTCACAGCCCTGCACCATGAACTGCAGCTTCCCACCTGCAGGGGGCGAAGGCACGAGCTGCAGGCCCTTTGCCAGGGCCCGGGTGCCCGTGCCTGGATGGCGGAGGCCCGCGTTGCTTGTCCCGTCTGCCCGCACTGCCCCGCACCCCACTCTCCGCGCCCCGCTGCCTGCACTGCCCCGCGCCCTGCTGCCCGCTGCTCGCTGCCCACTGCCTGCTGCTCGCTGCCTGCTGCCCGCTGCTCGCTGCCTGCTGCCCGCTGCTCGCTGCCTGCACTGCCCCGCTGCCCGTCGCCCGCCGCCCGCTCCCGTCTAGCAATGCTCAGGATCAACTTGGAGGCGCTTCTTCTTGGTCCGCCATCACACTGCTGCCCTTCCTCTCCCTGCGACCTCTGCAGAGGGCTGGGCCTGACCCCCACCCGCCAGTGGTGCCCCAACCACGCTGCGTCTACACTGCATGTGCTGCAGACCTGGCACCCTTCTCCGGCCCTTCCACCTGTACGGGGCACTGCTGGCGGCACCTCGCCCTGACCCTTCGCACAGTGGCCCGCTGCTCGCCGACCCCCACGCGCCTGGCTCTTGTGTCCGACCGCTGGTGGCCCTCTCCTGCAGGCGGAGGCTCTGGCTCCCAGACATGGACGTCCTGGGGGCTGGCTGCCTCACGCCTTGTCTCTGGGTCCCTGGTGTGTTTCCCACCAAAAACCGTAGCGTTTCCACCTCTTCCCCTCGCCCTTCCCGTCAGGTGTCAGGGAGACCTCTCGCTCTGTTCTCGAAGTCCATGTGGATCACCCATCAGGCGCCAAAGGACCCGGGTATAGAGCATGCGTCAGGGTCCCCGCCTCAGCAAGCCCTGCTCCAGGGCCTTGCTCCAGGCTCTGCACAGTGGCCCTGTGGGTCAGGTCCTGCCAGCCGTCCCGCTGTGCCTCCGCCCTGTTCTGCACTGTCCTGACTGGGCGCCGTCCCCGTCCCTGGACTGCCATGCTGACGAGCAGTCCCCTTGGCCCTGGCTGTGTGCGGAGCCCAGTGGGCCTGGATTCGGTCCCCAGAGATGCTGGCTTCCCGGGTGTGGTGCTGCCCAAGCGCGAGGGCTTTCGAGTGCTGTTTGTAACCCTGCCCCAGTCGGAGGTGCCCCCGCCTCTGAGCGGCCCCACCTGCACCCTCACCGCCCCCGCCCAGCTCCCGCCACGCTTGCTGCTGTCACTGTGTCTACAGGACCTTGCACCCGGGGCCACAGTCTGAGCCATCCTCCAGGGGCCCGTGCTGTGTCGCGTGGTCAGCGGGACTGCACGGTGCGGAGCGTGGTGAAGGGGGCACACGGAGGACAGACAGACCACCGCGGCAAGCAGCGTGGCTCACCATGGAGGCCACCGAGACCCCTTCTCACGATGAGGAATGACAGAGGACAGCTACCCCGAAGGGCCTGCCACCCGCGGACACAGCTGGGGCGACGCCCACGCGGGGCTCACCCAGTGCCAGCGCTAGCAGGGATCGCGGGCCGGGCTCTTTCCCCGCACAGGAGCCCGAGCCCCGACTGGCGGCCGCCCCACTCCGGTTCCTGGGTCTACTCTCCGCCCTGAGTCTGAACCCCAGGCTCGGCCCCACCTACCTTCGAAAATCTTCTTCAGCATGCACTGCTGCGAGTTCTCCGTGGTGCACACGCCCTCCCCGCGGAGGCACTTGCCCTGCTCGCTCATGTATGCGCACACGTGGCAGTTCACTGCCGGGCCTAGGGCGAGCACGACCTCAGGCACCCGCAGACCGCTGCCCGCCCCGCCCGCTCGCCCCGGCCCGGCCCAGGCCGCTCATGTGCGAGGGAGGGGTGCCCTGTCCGATGTCCGCGGAGGAGGCGTGGCGGGCTGGCCGTGTGTGGGGGGGCTCGTTCTGGCCACGGAAGGGCTTCCCGCCCGGTCGCTCGGCGGAGCCCCAGCTGGGGGCCACAGAGTCCGTCTGCAGAGTGGGGCAGTGGGACCTAATGGCCGGTCCCCTTCCGGCCTGCCAGGCTTGGTGTCGTGAGGGGCCTCAGGAGTGTCCAGGCAGGTGTTCGAGAGGTGCCCACAGCGTTTCCTCCACCCCCGCCCCTCAAACCCTGTGTCCCTGGTGCGCCTCACCTCCCCAACCCCCAGTGGAGGGCGGGTGCGGCGGGGCTCACCTAGAGTGGAGGGCGGGGCCCCTGAAGGCTGCTCGCCTGAGGCCTGTTCTCCTGAAGGCTTCTCCGTCACAGCCTGCTCGCGTGACACCTGTTCTGCGGCCGGCTCCCCCGCAGCCTGCTCCGCTGCAGCCGGCTCCCCCGCAGCCTGCTCCGCTGCAGCCGGCTCACTGGCACCATTCTCGCCTGACGTGTGCTCAGCCAGGGCGTGCTCACCCGAAGGCTTTTCGCCCGAAGGCTGGTCCGACGCTGGCTCCCCGACAGCGTGCTCATCGGACGCGTGCTCCCCCACGGCGTGCTCGCCCGACCCGTGCTCTCCGGACCCGTGCTCGCTCGAAGCGTGCTCGCTCAAGGTGCTCTCGCCGGGAGCAGTCTCGTACAGGGCTTCGGCCTCCGAAGGGGGTGCCCGCGCCAGGTACTCCCCAGAAAGCCGCTGCGCGGAAGCCTGGTCCAGAGAGTCGGAGAATTCCTCGGGTGGCCCTAGGGCACCTGGGCGGGGACAGAGGACCAAGGACGGGTGAGGGCACTGCATGGCTGTGAGCGAGGCCACGGGCTCCTTACCCACTGAGTGCCCTGAGGCTGCAGGGGACAGATGTGCTTACCAAGGCTCCCTGGGGCTGAAGGGGACAGTGTTTGATCCACAGTGTCCAGAACTGCACAGGACCCGCCCGCCCACCACGCACCAAATGCACTTGAACGTGCCTCCCCGACACCACCGTTGGGAAATCACCCCCACATTCAGGTGGCTGGAGGCTACCCAGCCTCCCTTCTGTGAGCGAGGGGCAAGAGCGGGGAGAAGAGAAAACAAGCTCTTTTCTTTCTTTTTAAAAAAGAGGTATTTAATTAATTATTATTTTTATTTAATTTGCCATATGGCACTTGTGTTCACCAAAGAGAGAGACAAAAAATGGCAAAGGGGGCAGCAAGGGGCTTGTGGTTAAGTTGCTAGACTTCCACTGGTTCACCGCGGTTTGAGCCCAGACCTGGCGGCTTTCTGACTTGCCCCTCTCTGTCCTTATCTTGTCAAATTAAGTAATAATAAATAAAGTTGAATAAAACAATTCTTTTTAAAATTTTTTTAGAAGTTTTTGCTACGGAGTGCGTGTGTTTGCCAGAGAGACAGAAAGCGAGAAATCACCCCCCGGGGGGCAGGCCACGCCGCAATCCCTTCCCCGTTCTCTCAGGATCTTGGGCACGCACGCACAGGCGCCTGGTCTGAGTTTAAGCCATCCAGTCTGGGACTTGAACCGCGGTCGACTACATGGGAGTCCAGTGACATAGCCATCTGCTGGTCCCGAATAAAACAATTCTTTTAAAATAAATAAATAAATAAAAAAGGTGAGAAAGCCAGTTGCCAAGTCTGGGACTCAAACTGTGGCCAGCCCTGGGGAGTCCAGCACCTTAACCATCGTGCCTCCTTCTGGCCCCTCAAGGACTTTTCGGGGGCTGCGTCATTCTAGCCTGCACTGAGAGTGGAAGACTTTAACGGGGAAGCAGGACAAACTGTAAGCCAGATGGCAGACGCCCAGCGGGCCCTCCGCCGTCAGCAGGAGGAGGGGTCGCCTTTATCTGGTCAGCTGGTCCTTTCTCACACCCCTCACACTCAGCTTCGAGGCTGGGGACTGACAGCAGGCCCTCCAGATCCAGAGGTCCAGGTCGGAGGGGCATTGTGAAGTGGCTTGTTGCCACGGTGCCCACGGCCCTGCCCCGCCCCGCCCCTCCCGCCCCGGGGAGGGCTCCTCCAGCTGGGATCGGAGTTCCCGTGAAGACCAGGGCTTGCGTGGGGCTTCCACCCCCCTCGGGGTTTGCTATAGGCTGTGTGCTCTCTGGAGAAAGAGAGAAGTGAGAAGTCACCTCCAGGGGCATGGCCACGCCTCAGTCCATGCTCCTGTCAGGACTTTTGGGCACACCCGCACACATGCCTGGAAGGTTTTTCAAGCCACCGGGTCTGAGACTCAAACTGCAGACAGCCACGTGGGATCCAGCTCCTGGACCCCTGTGGCACCCGCTGGCCCCATGTGGCCTCCACGTCAGCGGGAGGGGACACCGCTCAGGCCAGCTACTGCTCTTGGGTCAGCCTGAGCGACCCTGCGGAGGGCAAGCAGGCACGAGCGTGTGGCTAGTCCCAGCTGGAAGTTAGGAGTGACCGGGTCCCCGAGTAGGGCAGGCCACCGTCCTCGACAGCTTCTGCAGACAAGGCCTGGGGTATGGTGGCAGGTAAGAGCCGGGACGCCTAGGAGACTGGCTCTAAAATCCTGTCATAAATTGATCAACTCCTAATAGTTAATACAATTCTCTTTTTGTAAAAAGAATTGTTTTATGTAACTTTAATTTGACCAGAGAGGGACAGAGTGAGAGAGAGGGAAAATGAGAAAGCAAGCTGCCAGGTCTGGGACTCGAACCACGGTCAGCCACACGGGAGTCCAGTGCCCTTAACTATCACGCCACCTGCCAGCCCCGAGGGTTAGTGGAACTGTGACAAGCTGTCACCGATGGGAAGGTGGCTTAAAGGCACCTGAGAACCCAGCCTGCCCGCAGTGTCTGACCGCCACGCCCCCGAGTGGCACCCTACCACCTGAGGCTGTGTCCACGGTTCCGAGTTGAGTTGTGAAAGTCTAGCAAAATAGAAAGCAAAGCCTCTGAGAGCGAAAGCCGTGGAACTCTCTTGGCCACCTCACTAGGAGCCCTACGCCCATGGCCGTCTTCCCCGTGGGAGGCAGGACGGGCCCGACCTCCTGACTGGGGGCCTCGGCCCAAGCCCGGCTGTGGTTGCGAACGGCTTTCTGGGCACGCCACGCCCCTTCCCACGGATGCTAGGGCCGCGAGCACCCTAGCTGTGAGTCCCAGGGACAGACCCCGCCTGCCCCTTGGCGCAGGGCGGCAGGAGCAGCACTGAGGGCCGGGCGAAGACCCCCGGCCACAGCCGCTCCGGAGCATTGGCCCTGCCAGCCGTGCCCAGCTGTGCCCGCCCCTACCCCGAGGCAGGGTGGTCGAGGTGGTCCGGGTGACTGGGACCCGGCTCATCTTTCCAGGCCCGAGACCCAGGAAGAGGCCCTCGGTGAGGCTCACCTCCGGCAGAGCCGAGCAGACAGAGGCTGAGCAGCAGGAGCATGCTGTGGGCCGGGCAGGACACCAGCGCTGCGAGGACACTGCGCAGACACCCCAGTACTGAGCAGCTCCCGGGAGCCCTAGAACCTCAGGGCTGGCCGCTGCGCTCACAAAGGCCTGCCTGTGACGTCGTGGGGCCCGCAACGGTGGCCCTTAGCAACCACGGCAGACCACAGCGAGGCCCAGTCGGGCCACCCTACCTCGAAAAGAGTAAAAATAAAAATAGCCAGGACAACACACAACCGCGTCTCAAAGACACCTGCTCTCTCTCTGTGGTGCCTTGGCCGGCCGGCGCCGTCACAGTCAGGGCAACAACCCGATCCGGCCGGCTGAGGGCTCGAGCCCTAGACTCAGCAGCTGGAAAAGACTGGGCGCGCGTGCCCAGACCCTGCGGACAACGAGCAGGGACTGGCGTGACCACCCCGGGGCCCCCAGGTGCTGTCCGTACGGTGTGATGGTGGCTGTGTCCGTGCGGCTCTGACAGCCCCTGTCGGCCCGTCGTGCCCTGGAGGGCTGGCCCCCACAGGCAGTGCCACTCGGGGCTGGCCGGGCATCCAGGTTGGCTTTGCCAAGTTGGAGGGAGAGACGGGAGGGAGGGAAAGATGGGGCTGGGTTGACGCTGTTCTCTGCCACTGTCCACACTGGGTTTCCGAGCCTCGGGCTGGCTGCCGAGCAGGCAGCGCGGGCCCACGCCAGTCCACAGTTCCTCCCCGTGGGGAGTGGGCTGGGGCAGTGTGGGATGGTGCTGGCCCCTCTGTCGCTGACGGAGCAGGGCGAGGGGCTGTCTGCACCACGGCCAGCACGGTGCTCCAGGCCGTCCCGCCCGCCTTCCCACCCCGCCCCGCCTTCCCGTCCCGCCCGCCTTCCCGTCTCTCCGTTCTTTTTCATGAAGAAGGAGAAGCCCACGGTCCGAGGCCGTCCTCTGGGGCGGCCACGATATGGCCAGAGGGCAGGGTCTCTGGCAGGGCTGCTCTCCCTCTCTTCTCATCCGGTCGCTTTCCTCTGTCCTCGAGGCTGGCTTTCGAGTGCTGGCCCAGCCCCCTAGGTTGGCTGTCCCTAGACTAGGCCTGCCCTCCTCCCTGAGCCCAGCAGCCTGGCTCTTCAAAGCCAGCCCCTGCGCCCCTGACACCCCATACAGACGAAGAAGACGCGTGGCCACAGAGACGCCCGTGGCCCGCAGAGCTCGAAGCTGATGCCCACGGTCGGCTGCCGCCATCCCCCGCCACCGTCCCTGGGAGCCGGCCTGTGTTCCGGTCCCAACGCGCTACACGAGCCAGGCCGTCCCTGTACTCTGTGTGGCCTGGCTCGAACTGAGGGGCTGGCCCAGAGTCCCCTCACAGGTCACAGCTAAAGCAGAGACGGAGCCCTGGGGAGGTAGATGGGAGCGTCCTAGGTCCTGTGGCTAAGACCACAGAGGGGCCTTTGCAGGGGTGAGACACAGCGAGCCTCGCTCAGTGCCCGGAGCAGCCCGGAGCGGTGGAAGGAGCTGTGCGTGGAGCCAGGGCCGAGGCGGGCTCACGGAGACCAGCACAGCCCTGCAGGAGGCTCCGGATGTGGTGCTGGCGGTGCCTCTCCGCCCTCCTCCCCTGCGGGGCCTGCCTCGCCTTCCTCTCCTCTGCTGTGCCGCTCCTCCCAGGTCCTCGTGCCTCTGGCCTCCGCACTGCTGTGCACCGAGACCCTCCCATTTCTGGGTTCAAGGAGAATCCAAGCGGGCCAGTCTCTCACCGCCGTCCCTGGCACAAACCTCACGTTGGAGGGGCCGTGGACAGCGCATGGCTGTCGAGCCTGGGCAGGGGCCGCAGGTGCAGAGCACCCCCCAGGTTTCCTCCAAGCTGGGCCGAGGGGCACCAGAACGGGCCAGCCACTCCACCTGCAGGCTGTGGCCCACAGGGGGGCCCCCACGCGCGCCCAGCCACTCCACCTGCAGGCTGTGGCCAGCAGGGGGCGTCGGCCCTCTCCAGCTGTCCTCGCAGCTGCCTCCTCCTCACCCTGCTGTCCCTCCCTCCCATCCCCTGCCACCTTGTCCCAGGCTCCATCCCAAGCCTCCCACACACACATGCACACTCACGCAAACTCACACTCGCACACATACCCACACACCCACTCACACACACACTCACACCCACCCACTCACACACACTCACACCCACACACACACTCACATCCACACACACCCACACTTGCACACTCACACCCACCCACACACACTCACACACACTCACACGTGCACTTGTTCTCTGAAACTGCAGGTCTGTGTTCTTGGCCCCCTTTTTCTGAAATGCTCTCCACCTCGTCCCCCTGAGGAGACACTTCCCTCCTGAGGATCTGACCTCTCTCCTAAGGAGAACCGAGCACCCCATGGACTCATCACCCCACAGCCC